TAGACCATACATAAACCCACACATCTGGGAATGAGCACCAGAAGAGCACAATCTCCTTGTGGGTAGTGGGGGAAGTGACTGAAAGCAGGGTGAGAGCCAAGCTAGTAGCATTGTTCCCTCTGGGACCCCTCCCCACTTACAGCACCACAACTGTGGTGACCTGGGTTGCCCCACCCTGGTGAATACCTAAGGCTCTTACTACATAACGGGCATGCAGACACCAAAAATATATATATGGCCCAAATGAAAGCATAGATCAAAGTTCCAAAACTAGAACTAAGCAATGAAGAGATAGCCAACTTATCAGATGCAGAGTTCAAAACACTGGTAATCAGGATGCTCACAGAAATGGTTAAAAATGGTCACAAAATAGAGGAAGAAGTGAAGGCTATGCAAAGTGAAATAACAGAAAATGTATGGGGAACCAGCAGTAAAGGGAAGGAAACTGGGACTCAAATAAATGGTTTGGACCAAAAGGAAGAAATAAACATTCAACCAGAACAAAATGAAGAAACAAGAATTCAAAAAAATGAGGAGAGGCTTAGAAACTTCTGGGACAACTTTAAATGTTCCAATATCCACATAATAGGGGTGCCAGAAGGAGAAGAGGAAGAGCAAAAAATTGAAAACTTCTTTGAAAAAAAATGAAGGAGAACTTCCCCAATCTGGCAAAGGCAATAGACTTCCAGGAAGTCCAGGAAGCTCAGAGAGTCCAAAAGAAGCTGGACCCAACGAAGCACACATCAGGGCACATCATACTTACATTATTCAAGAGTAAAGATAAGGAGAGAATCTTAAAAGTGCAAGAGACAAGAAGACAGTTACCTACAAAGGAGTTCCCATAAGACTATCAGCTGATTTCTCACAAGAAACCTTACAGGTGAGAAGGGGCTGGAAAGAAATATTCCAAGTCGTGAAAGGCAAGGACCTACATCCAAGATTAGTCTATCCAGCAAAGCTTTCATTTAGAATGAGAGGGTAGTTAAAGTGCTTCCCAGATAAGGTCAAGTTAATGGAGTAACATTGTCACCAAGCCCTTATTATATGAAATAATAAAGGGACTTATCTAAGAAAAAGAAGATGATCAAAACTATGAACAGTAAAATGACAACAAACAACTACCAACAACTGAACCTAAAAAAACAAAAGCAAACAACTAAAATAGGAACAGAATCACCGAAATAGAGATCACATGGAGGGTTATCAGTGGGGAGGGAGAGGGGAAGAATTGGGGGGGAAGGTGCAGGAAATAAGAAACATAAATAGTAGCTACAAAATAGATAGGGGAGGTTAAGAATAGTGTGGGAAATGGAGAAGCCAAAAAACTTATCTGTACGGCCCATGGACATGAACTAAGTGGGGGACGGGGAATGCTGATGGGAGTGGGGTATGCAGGGCAGAGGGGAATAAAGGGGAGAAAAAATGGGGCAACTGTAATAGCATGATCAATAAACCATATTTTAAAAAATTAAATAAATAAACAATTGCAAATAGACTACATAATATATGTGGGCAAAGGGCAATTAAATAAATCTCTTGAAACACAAATTATTGTGCATACTATCAACATGGACATGATTCACATCAAAATCCTAAAATGTATTCCTTCTGAAGGAGAGCTGTATCAATAAAATGTTACATATCTTTTATCACTCTGGTACAATACTTCATATGCTGCAGGAAAATTAAATGTAGGTCAAGTCATCAGCTTAATAAAAGATCTTTTCCATGAGCCTTTACTAATAAAAGACTTACAGTTAGGTCATAAATAAGATGAATTATTAATTACATGATTTGAGGTTCAGGATGAAACCTTATACAGCAGTTATACACCACACTAAAACCAACTGCTTAATATTTTTGCCATGTGAACTGCCTACAGTGAAAAATGAGCAAATATTTTAATAATGGAAGATAACTTAAAATGTAAATCAGATCATGTCAATCCCCTGTTCAAAAACCCTCCTTAATGATTATTTGGCTCACGAAGTTCCTAGCCAATGTCATCTTTCCCCTCACCACCCCTGCCCTCATTCTTGGGAAAAGCAACATGCAAAACTACAACCTACATTTCCCAGATTCCCTTGCAGTTAGGGAGGTCACGTGATCCTATTCTAACCTGGAGACCCAGGAAAAATCACTGAATAGGGATTCTAAGGAAGCTACGCTTTCCTGAGAAAAGGGGAGACTTTAGTGCTATACAACCTTTGACATTTGTTTTCCTTTGTTCCTACCTAACAAGCAAAAAAAACAAAGGTAAAGTAGCCATGCCAAAGATGTCGGGACACAAAGGGAGTAAGGATCTTGTTCCTTGAGCAGCTGCATCAGTTCTCATTTGCTCATCCTTTGATTCCTTGTGAGGTGAGAAAACAGTAAATCCATCACTTGGTTAAATTGCTGTGGTGAAGTTTCTATTACGCAGAGCCAAATACAATACAAGCATAGAATAAATTCTCAAAGTCTTACATGCATTCCCCCTTGGTTTCTCTGCACCCACCTCATGGGCTCTCTGGGCTGATCTTGGAACACGTCAAGTTTATCTCCACCTCAGCGTTTTTACTCTTGCTGTTCTGTTGGAAAGCTCTCCCTCCAAATCTTCACATTGTTTTTCTGAGCCCTCTCTTCATTCAGCTTTCTGCTCCAACGTCACCTGTGCACCAAGGTCTTGCCTTAACCATTTTGTCCAAAATTGGCTCCTTAGCACTCTAACTCTTTAGTGATTTATTTTTATTCACAGCATTTACCACTACCTAAAATTGTCTCTACCTGAGAGTATGTTATTTATTGTGTTGGGCAAATAGTTCATTTAGTTTTTTCCACACAATGGCTTTAGGAGTGCTCAGTTGTCTTTAACTTCATTCAAAACAATTTTGTTAGATTGTATTGTGACAGCTGTCATATCAGCATGCACTAATAAAAACTTATCAAATTTGGTGAATTTTTGTGAAGCCATTTTAATGTTGAAGATGGAAGACAATACACAACATTTTTGGCATATTATGCTTTATTTCAAAAAGGTAAAACACAACTGCAATGCAAAAAACTTTTTGTGCAGTGTATGGAGAAAGTGCTGCGATGGTCAAATGTGTCAAAGTGGTTTGTGAGGTTTCTTGGTTCTACTGACATTTTGGCCAAGTAATGCTTTGTGTTACGCATGTCTTATGTTTATCAGCACCCTTGGCCTCTGCCCACTAGAATCCAATAGTGGGAGATAGCCGACATTCTCAAAATATCCAAATCAATAAAGTTATTGGTGAAAATGAAAAAATGTGCCTTTTATTTTACAGAAAAAAACTAAATGGACTTTTTGGCCAACCCAATATTTACTTGTTTAATGAATTTCCATTTACTATATTGGAATGGCAGATTCAAGAATTATAGGAACATCCCTAGTACTTAGAAGAGTGCCTGGTATAAAGTAGGCATTCAAAAAATATTTATTTAACTGCCCTGGCTGGTGTAGCTCAGTGGATTGAGCACAAGCCTGCAACCCAGAGGATCATGGTTTGATTCCCAGTCAAGGAACATGCCTGGGTTGCAGGCCAGTTCCCAGTAGGGGACACACAAGAGGCAACCATACATTGATGTTTCTCTCCCTCTCTCCTTCCTTCCCCTCTAAAGATAAATAAATAAAATAAAAATAAATAAAATATATATTTTTTAAAAAGAACTTATTTAACCAATCAATCAAATCATGACATCTTGATATTGAAGCAGACTCTTCCTTATAGTTCACTCACCAGCTCTTTGTAATACAGAGACTATATAACTAACCTACCAAAAAATAAACCTCGAGTTTTAGTATTTTTAGTCAGGGGAGCACCTTTGTGGGCTAACATATCTTTTATCAGCACTCTTGGCACATAGATGCTTAATTTCATGGCCTCTCCCAAAATTCTGGACCGGGTCTGAAATTTAAGACGGACCTAATGACTGAATTTAACAGCAGTACATCCGGACACCGGCACTTACACTGAACACATCAGGGCATTTCCCTTTTGGTTCCTTCCAGATCGCCCAAATAAGGTGAGTGATCCCTTATCCCTTTACAGAGAGATCCCTTTACAAAATCCCTTTACAGAGACCAGAGGCTCGTTTTTTCCTCGACTTCTTCTAGACTGGGCCAGGGATATGATAAATCCGTTTTCAATGTAGCCAGTATCATGCCAGAGTGAAAAGGCGACAGGGGGCTGGTTCCAACCCCAGTTCATCAGCTACATGGCTTGTTTGAGCTGTCCAGTTAACAGCGAGAAATAAGGGAGATTGAGGACCGCAATACGCCCTGACCGGTGCATTGCGTGCCGCTCGCTCGGTGCATTGCGTGCCGGGCGTGCTAACCGAACAGTACGTTCAGCCAGCTGGATTCTGCTTGGTTCGATTCCCTTCCCGGCACCTGCCTGGGTTATGGGCCAGGTCCTCATCTCCCCCTTTCTTTCTCCCTCCCTAGTCCTCTCTCTAAAAAAATAAGAAGAGAGGGAGGGAGAGAGAGAGGAAGGGAGGGAGGGAGGAAGAAACTAAGTAAATAAATATATTTTTTAATCTTAAAATATAAAAATAAAAAAGAAGCCGCAATCCAACCTTTCGACAAAGAGGACAGACTCGCGAGCTCTACGTTCCGCCCCTGACCCCGCTCAGAAGAAAGTCTGAATCCAGGTCAGGCTTTTGTGTCCCTCCTACGCTGTCCCTGAGCCTCGCACGCCGACTTTCAGCCAGAAGCTCACGCCACCCTGCGGGGGTCGCCGTGCCCACCCACCGCCTTCAAACAGCCAGAACCTGCGCCCGAGCCCGCTCTCTCCCGTCGGCCCCCGCGGGCCCCTCCCCTGTCTCCATGGAAACAAAGCAGCCAATCCACGCGAAGATTTCCGCGGCTCCTCCCCGACAAACGGTGCGGTCTCAGACGACTCTAGAGTGGACTCCGGTGGGCCTGTAGGCTGCGGACCGCGATGCTGAAGGCCAAGATTCTCTTCGTGGGGCCCTGCGAGGTGAGGCCGGGGCCGGGTGTGGCTTCGGGCGCAGCGAGCGGTGGCGGGGGTGCTCCCGGTGCCCCCCGCCCCCCGGAAATGGGACGGAGTCGTCCGCCTCACCGAAAACGCCGAGCCTCCAGACACTGACCCTGTTTCATTGAGACCTCAAGGCCCGAGATATAGTGAGTGGCGTTTTGGAGCCAAAACTTATATCTCACTTTGCATTCGAGGCTATCCCTAATTAATATGTCTGTGGTACGAGAAAACCAGAAGGAGGAAAGACTGGACTATAACCTAGTTTGGGAACAATTAGCAATTAATGTATGTGTGATGATGGCCGGGGGGGTTAAGTCTTTATGTGTACCATACACAAAAATAAAATTCAGATGGACTAAAACTAAATGTGTAAAAAAACAAACAAACTTGGAAGTAGTAAAAGAATGAGAGTTGCATTTTGCTGATGCTGTTTGCCCAGGGACCACACTTTGAGAACCACTGTGGTAGATGAATATATCTACTGCAAAAGATACGTTTTTAATCTTAAAATAGGGAAGTTCTTATTAAGCACAACATAAAAATAAAAAAGACTTAAAAGAAATGACGGCGAAGTTAAAGCCCAGGAAAAGTATTTGCAAAATACACTACAAATGAAGACTTAATAGCTAGATCACGAGTTTGACATTGAGAAAGAAGAGAGAACTCAATAGAAAGTTGAGCTAAGGCTCTGCACTAAAATCCAACTGATCAGTAAGTGTGAGAAAGACGCCCAGCTTCACAGTTGCAGGAACTCAACTTAAGACAAAAAGATGACGTTTGTTTACCTATCAGATTGGATGAGAAAAATTTAAATTGATTAACACCAGTGTTCGAATGCTTAGGGAAATGAGTATTCTAGGATTCTGTTGGGGCTATAAAATGATGACAGCTTTTTTGGTGATCAAATCATTAAAATTTAAAATGTGCTTAGCTTTTAATGCTGCACTTACATTTCTCAGCATCTACAGGAGCTGAAAACGTGTGGATGCTCCCCGTGAGTCATGTACAATAGTGAACAGTTGGGAGCCTAGATACCATCAGTAATAGAATACCTACATAAACTAAGGTACATTCTTACTCTGGAGAACTGTGTGGCAGTTAAACAAAACATGGCAAGTCTGTGTATTGACATGGAGAACTCTCCAAGACACAGATTATTAAGTGAAATAGATAATAACAATATGCAGAGAATAAGGAAAAGTAAAACAAGCATAGATAGCATTTTAATGGAAATTCTCAAACATATAAAGGGAGAAAGAACTATGAACTCCTAGTACCCATCACCCAACTTCAACAACAAAATATATTTCTGCATACACATTTCTCTCTCCCTCACTATTCTTCAAACTTGACTGACCTTCTGTTCCTTCAGCATGCTGTGCCCATTCCTGCCCTGGTGCCTCTGAAACAGCTATGCCCTCTGATTGGGAGCCTCAGTTGACTCATTCAAACCTCAATTTAAACTTTATCTAGGCTTTCCTTGACCACCCAATTCAAAGACTCTAATATCACCCTGCTTAATTTTTATCCTGGTACTGATCTCTTTATCTCTTTCTAATTTATTCAACAGCACCTAGCACAAGTCAGACACTTAAAAATAAGTGTCTTATGGTTCTAGCAGGCGATTTCTTCATTTCCCCTTAAGATCCCACCCCTTTAAAAAATTGGTTTTAGTCGGCTAATATACATAAACTTTAAGGGCATAAATGAAATATACAAGTATGCTTTTATAATGTTTTCTGTATCAGTGTAGCTATATACACATTTAAAGGTACATTAAGCTTATGATAATTTAGGAATGCTGTTTTATTCCATTCTTGCATTTCATGACAGTTTTATTCGAGCCCCTCACCTGCACCTTTGACACCAAAGTCATCTTTATGACTAGTGCCACTTTTTGAGTCACCTGACAAAACACTCCACCTAAGTAGTCACTTTTTCAGTCTGCGTATGAACCTCTTCCTGGAAATGTATTCCAGCTCAAGGAACCATTCCTATAACATCAAGCCATTTGCTTTATTCATTCACCATCTAGATAAATATTCATGATTTCTAATATGACTACTTACTGTGTTATTGTTAAGTGATAATTTGTGAGGCCAAATCCTCAGAGAAAATTATTAAAACAATGTTAAGTCTCTCCCCTCCCTTTTATTTACTTATTTCCTGATTCCAGCCAGCGACCTGCACAGGCCTCCCAAACTGGCATCGACTGAGGCCGTTCTAGTGAAGCAGTTGTTCAAAATAAAGTTACCGAAGTGCAGAGCATAATTTGAGATATTTTTCAATAAGGATTCAAATATAAGAGATTCCCCTTCTAAGGAATAATTTGGGTGGAGAAAAAAAATTTTTTACATGTGGGCATACATAATGTTTATTAAATGAATGATGCAAATGTATAGGGAAAAAAATCTGAAAAACATCATTGTTGTTACCTTTGAAGAGGGTGTGGGGTGGACAGACGGATAGTTTGGGCGGAAGGACCAGGAGGGCTGTTTGTTCATTTCGAGTGTGTATTGTGCAGAGGGAGAAACTGCTCTACACGAGGGTGTGGCATAGCCAGCCAGGAGTCCTCCAGCCGGGGCCCAGCTCCGACTTTGAACTTCTTTTTGACTTAGAGAAACTCTCTTCCCCTTTCTTGGCCTCAGTGGCTTCCTAATGAGCTGTGACAGACTGGTTTTTCTTGAAGATGTGAAGAGGAGCAAGTCAGGAAAAGCTCACATGATTTTTTTTTCCTGTTCTTAGATGAGTTAACTGAGAGGTAGCCGGGGAAATCCACGTGCGCATGGTCGCCCCGTGGCAGAGCCAGTGCTGGACTCCCTGCTGCCTGGGCCCTGGAGCAGACTATGCAGACCGCGCCGCCCCAGTCAGCGAGGTCCACCCAACCAGAGGAGCCCTCTGCTCCGGTGATCCCCGGTGGCTGCGGCCTGCACTCCATCACATCCGCTTCCAAACCAGCTACTGAGGGCTCTTTTATGGTTTACTTTCCTGCTCGTCAGAAAAGATTTTTATTATCTTCATTTTCACAGAGTGGAAAAACCGTTTTGGCCAACTTCCTGACAGAATCTTCTGACATCACTGAATACAACCCAACCCAAGGAGTGAGGTGAGCCCTGATGAACGAATCTGTGTCCCAGAGAGCCCCTGTCCACCCACCCTCTACGTTGGATGCTGATGGTACTCTACAAGCATAATATTTCCAAAGTAGCGATGTTGCTGCTGTTTTTCTTTCTAGGATCCTGGAATTCGAGAACCCACACGTTGCCAGCAACAACAAAGGCACGGGGTGCGAATTTGAGCTATGGGATTGTGGCGGCGATCCAAAGTACGTTTCCCTTAAGAGGGTTTTCTTCATCAAATGATTAAGAAAATCAGCTTCCCACCAGGCACCGTGGCCAAGCACACTTCCTAGCATGTATTAGGGGCTTGGTCAATTGTTTAGAATATGCATTGCTCTTGAAACTTTAGTGATTGGGTTTCAATACAATGAGAAGTCGTCCATCAATTAGCAATAGTAAGATACTATTTTTTAAGTCCACCATTAGAAACCGGAACCACCTAACGTTTGCTGAATTCTTTGCTACCTCGCAGGTTCGAATCTTGCTGGCCAGCCCTGATGAAGGACTGTCATGGAGTGGTGATTGTCTTCAACGCAGACATCCCAAGCCACCTGAAGGAAATTGAGATGTGGTATTCCTGCTTTGTTCAACAGCAGTTCTTACAGGATACTCAGTGTCTGTTGATTGCACACCACAAACCAGGCTCTGGAAGTGAGAAAGGAAGCCTGTCTTTGTGTAAGGAGACTGCAATTCTCCTGTCTGCTTCTGTCTTCAGTGTTCCAGGCATTTGTGTATTGCTCTGTGTGTTTGTTTTTTGTTTTCTTTTTAATTGAATTTTAGAAAGAGAAAGGAAGGGGGAGAGAGAGAAGAACATCAGTTTGTTGTCCCACTTCTTTATGCGTTCATTGGTTGATTCTAATATGTGCCCCGACTGGAGATCGAACCCACACCCTTGGTGTGTCAGGATGGTGCTCTAACTGGCTGAGCTACCCAGCCGTGGCTTTGTCCTTGAAAACAGTATTTGTGTGCAATTAGTGAGCATCTGGTATGTCCTAGGCATTTGTTTTTCTCACCATGTAAATCAGAATTGCCAGATTGGAAGATCTGACATCCCATTCAGGTAAGGATATAGACACTTTAAAAGCAGGTAGACACCAAGAGGGGAAACAGCTGGTTTTAGCTGCTCATCAGTATTATTAGGGTCACTCTTTCCTAACTGGCCTTTTCTCAAGAAAAACTTGAATCTGCATGGGACACACACCATTACAGATGTGACAGTGTGATCATAGAAGATAACTCACAATGTTCAGGCATCTCTTTCTTTCTGGTATAAGAACAAAGAGGACCTGGCAGTGGCTTATAGAACTGTCATCCTATTGTCAGGTGGCAGTGTGGTGAAACCTTCCTATGTTAAATCATGTTGAGCAAGACACAGCTTATCTGTGGACTTCAGAAAGTTGAGCGAATTGACTTCTATAAGGTTCCAGCCATTTGGAACTAGAAATGGCCTTCAATAAAAGTCCGTGCCTCATTGCCTTCTTTTCCTTTTTAAGCACCACCCTTGAACAAGCTGAAGCTGGTGCACTCGAATCTTGAGGATGACCCTGAAGAGATCCGGATGGAATTCATGAAATATTTAAAAAGCATCATCAACTCCATGTCTGAGAGCAGAGACCGGGAGGAGATGTCCATTATTACCTAACTAGCCTTTACCTGGACTCTTCCTCATCCCTAGTGAGGTCAACTTCTTCCCCAGCACAGGTCCAAAACCTTACCGGGTACTGATGTTTTCTTCTCCCGTGGCTCTAGAAGAAACTGTGTCTGCCTTCTCGAAAGTACCAGTCACCGAGGGAGTTGAAGCATTCCATCTCTTCTCTGTCTGAACCGAGCCCTGTATCTCCCCAGGAGAGGGCTTTGGTGTTTACTAATATAGTTTTTGTGGTGGCTTTACAGACCATGATGACCATGAATAGTGGGAACCCACTGTATCTCCGCCTCTTGCATTTAAATGTTTTCAGGTTAGTTCAGTCTCTAATAAATATTTAATTAATTCAAGATTATAATCCACTTCCTCCGCATGCTCTGTAACACGGTATCAGAGTGTCTGGACAGTGTTTGTGCCCTTGTTGGGTGGGGCAACTGTTCCAAGGGCAGGTCCTCTGGTTCCCCCCTGACCTCTGTCAAGATGTCAGTGGCCACCCTACTGGAATCTCCCGCCCGGTGGGAGACTGGTGAGGCCTGTAGCATGGGCTCTCCCCATGGAAGCAGCGGTCCCAGACTGAGTCGGCCCCATCCTGGCAGGGCCGGCCCTGCACATCTCTGCCAGCCATTCGTGTCCCCCACCCGTCCCTGGTCTCTGTGTGTCTGTACGGCAGGGTCACTTTACCCTGTGCCATAGTGACCTGTCCAGTCATTTCTCCGTGCTCAGCTTACTGGGAGAAAAACATGATTTGGGGTGGGGAGATACTGAGAATATGGCAGGTGAATATTTTCAGAATATTACCCCCATTACAATAGTAAGAAATGCAATGATACTTTCATTATAAACCTACAGGAAGGTTTACTTAATCACTTATGATATTTATAAAATTTTCACAATACCATTATCCTTTTTTAATTGTAAAATATACATAACATGAAATTTACCATTTTGGCCATTTCCACGTGTACATTCTGGCACTACGTGCATTCACACCGGTGCCGTGCAGCCCTCACCGCCGTCCACCCCTGCGGCATTCTCGTCGTCCCAGGCTGAAACGCTGCACTAACTCTTCATTCGCACTCCCTCCGCCCCGGGCAGCCACCGTTCTGCTCTCTGGCTCTGTGAGTGTGACCACTCTGGCGCCTCGTGTGAGTGGGATCACAGTGTTTGTCCTTCGGTGACTGGCTTACTTCCCTTTCACAGTGTCCCCAAGGCTCATCCATGTCGTAGCAGTGTCAGAACGTCCTTCCATGGTGAGGCTGAATCCTGTCCCACTGTGTGTGTGGACCACATTTTGTGTGTCTATTCATCTGTTGATGGACATTTGGGGCGTTTCTACCTTTTGGCTGTTGTAATTTGCTAGGAACATTGGTGTACAGTTCACCTAAGATGTTTTTGAAGAACGGTAGCATTTAACTTCTCTAATATTTCACTGTTATTTAGATATCCTTGATATCTGGATACTACACAAAGTAGAATACATATATATCTTCTAAAAAGTAATTTATGACCCCTGGGGAATTTAATTCTTAAATATTACTTCATGTCATTTTTAAAAAGCAACATAACCCTGACCACTGTGGCTCAGTTTTGCAAAGTGAAGGGTCACCAGTTGAATTCCTGGTCAGGACACATGAGTTTGGTCCCCGGCTGTGGTGTGTATAAGAGGCAATAGATCAGTGTTTCTCTCTCACTTCAATCCCTCTTGCCCTCTTTCTCCTTCCCTTCCCCTCTCTCTAAAACATGAAATAAAAGCAATATAATGTTGTAATAACACCTAATTAAATCAAAAGATTTAATGCTCTAACCAAAAGCGAGTTTGTAGTTTTTGTATAGGCAAGTTTGTCTAATAATAATCTTAGGAATTATTGTTCATTCATAATTTTTATATTTGCAACTTTTTACATAGCTAACCTGAAAATATATTAAATAGATTAAAATTAGATGTAGGTTTTCTCAACTGAGAGAGAAAAGAAGAGGCACTTGAGATGAATAAATATGGTTGGGGGCATTTCACTTTACAGTGAGGAAGACTGGAATGGCGCTGTGTGGCATTTGCAGACAGTGACAACCCCCTGGTAACATTAGGCTGAACTACAGTCAACTCTTCGGGAACCGCCTGGGCTGTCCGTGGGCACATTCTAAGCCCGGGTCAATTTCCTCCTGCTGTCCAACCAGCTCTCAGCTGGGGCACAGGCAAAGAACACACAGTAATGTTAATGCAAACTGAAGCAAATCATCTTTACGCAATAGCTGAAGTAATAATCATTGATTTCGTAGAATACAAGTTCAGAAAGAAAACTAAATTATTATTATTATTATGTCTTTTTATGATGATCCCAAAGCTCAATAGAAGAATTAATCCAGCAGCTTTCATTGATGTTAATGGCCAGAGTATAACCCTTGTAAGTGTTTGAACTGAGAAAAATGTTTTCAGTTTTAATAGGCCACACGTGCACAAGTTACAAGAGGACATTGAATGAGACGTCCCCCTGTCTTCCGTGTCCCTCGGACCCCACCCGTACCCCCCATATTCTGATGGAGGCAGCCTGTGCATTTACACATGTGTTTTACTAATGGACACAGCAGCAAACTAGTCACACTTTTTTACACTTCATTTTTTTCTTATCTTGGAGATTTGTATAAATATATAGAGAGCTGCCTTGTTTGTTACAGCTCCATAATATTTCACATAACCATTGATGGTGGCATTTTATATTAGATATTTTAAATAGCTAGCTGAAATACATTCTTATCAATGAACATTTCTAATGGCATTTAAAAAACATGATTTGAGATACACATGTTTAAATCGGACTTTTAGGGAGGCGGTTTCAATCGTCAGTCCTTTCAAGGGAAGGATAAACTAAGATTGCTGGCCTTGGCAACCTGGTTTTGATTTATGATTTCGCAGAACTATTTTCTAACTGAACAATGATTATTTTAAAGATGTCGTGTATTTATTTATTTTTAGAGAGAAGAGAAGGAAGAGAGAAAGAGAGGTAAAGAAACATCAATGTGTAGTTGCCTCTCACATGCCCCAAACTGGGAACCTGGCCGGCAACCTAGGCATGTGCCCTAGACTGGGAATCGAACTGGTGACCCTTTGGTTTGCAGGCCGGCACTCAATCCACTGAGCCACACCTGCCAGGGCATCTAACTGAACAATGATTTTTGCCATGCATGTGTTAGCGTATGATGGGGATAAGATTTCTTTTTTGTATCATAGATATGGCAATGCACTTGAAAGCCACAGATGCATAAAGTAGCCTAGTCATGTGGGAAGTTCAGTAGTTCAGCATGACTCAAGTTGAGTGTGCGAGCAGTGAGTGGGTGAGTGAGTGTGTGGGTGAGGAGAGTGGAGGTGAGTGAGTCTGAGTGTGCAGGGGAGGGGAGTGGCAGCGGGAGAAAACGGGGGCCAGATGCCGAAGGGCCTCTAGGAGTTAGGGTTTCCTCCTCCAGGCATTCAGATGCCACTGAAGGACTTTCACTGCAGGTTCATGTGGTCATCTCTCTACTTTAGAGAAACCTGATGGCGGCATGAGTGCTGGATTGAAAGGACCAGTATGGAGGTGGCTGCTCTCACTCCTTGGTTTGTGGTGGCATCACTACAGTTTTCAAGGCCAGAATCTTCTGATCTCTGCTCCCTGTGCACATGACCTTCTCCTCTGTGTATCTGACTCAAACTCCCCTTTCACTACCTTATACGGACCCTTACAATTGCAGTCAGGGCCCACTCAGATAATCTAGGATAATCTCTCTGTCTAAAGATCCTTAATCACATCTGCAGAGGGGCTTTCTCCAAGAAAAGTAACATTTACAGGTTCCAGGGATCAGGACCAGGTATTTAAGGGGAAGGGGGCATTATTCAGCCTAATACAGGTGCCATTCACTGGGGCATTAATTGAAAAGCAGCGGCAGGTTTGGGGGGAAGAGGATGACAAATAACTAGTCCCAGGCCCAGCAGATTAGGGACAGAACCAGACCCCTGGTCTTTCTGCTGTCTGTGGTAACTGGGCAGAGTCACCAAGTGGATTTGGCTAAGAGTGTCACACCCTCTGAGACTAAATCTAGTTAAACAACACAACCAGAGCAACAACAGCATGGCAAATAACCATTTTTGAAGTTGAAAGTGGTTTGCAAGTATGTTGCTGATAGAAACTAGCTTCATATTTCTTGGAACCAATCAAATGATTGAGTAGAATTCCAGAGCTCTGTCTGTTGTAAAGACAATCTTAACTTACTCACTTACATGGTAACTAGAAGGCACATATCTGGAAATTGCTCGGGGAAGCTCCTGGAGATCACTATACTTTTTGTGAAACACCGTAAGATTGTTATGTCAGTAGGTAGGCTAAATTGCTGTAACCAAGAGTAGAGCTTTGTAGTACCTGAGGACATATATTCGAGTTAATACAAAAGCACGACTCCTGACCCACTGAAAAGGTGACTGCGTTTGTACCACTTAGGAGAATTACTCTGAATGATGGCTCTTCTTGATCTTGACTTCAGACTCCCCTACCTGATCGTTGAGGATTACATGAAGATTCCAGCCGTGGCTGATGCTTTCTCAAAAAATGTACTCTCTCCTTGGCAAGATATGATTTCACGTTTTAAAAATCAAAACCAAAGAAAGTAAATTAATGAGGAGGGAGGAAATTCTGCTTTGAATCTTAAGAATAGATAACATATTTTTGATGTTACTTCCTCGCTGCTTTATCAGTTAAATAATTTCCTACATTTATGATACAGGCCATTCTTCCTACTGAAGTTAAAAGCCAATGGAAATTGCTTGTCTTCCAACTATTCCCACTTCAAAAGGAAAGTTTTTAGTGCTTTGAAGTGAGCAACACCTCATCTATCTTTCTGCACTCTACAGTTCATTCCTATCTAGGCTTTTGACAGTCTTTAACAGTTTGCCTCCCCTCTCTGCCTCATGGCCACGGTGTGGGAGTCCCCAGAGCACTGGGGCCTGCAGCAGCATCACCACCTGTGACCTGGCTCAGGAACCCAGGAGGAAGCAGCCTGGCAAAGCAAACAGAGTTGGCAGCGAGGGCAGGGGTGTGTCATCCTGAGTGACCACCGTCATCCTCTAGACTTCCGGAGGCAGTAGGCTCTTCGGGTCCCACCACACACCCCTTCTCCTCGACCCCCTCCCCCTCCCCACACCATCCCATACCCTAGACAGACTGCAGCACGTGGAAACATTTGGGTTCTTTTATATCAAAATAGCATAACACCAAAAAGGAAGTTGAGAGAGCCCCACTCGTTACTATCCAAGCCATACATGAGAATAAACGACAAGCAGCCAGTAAAAAAACAAAAAAACAAAAGAAAAGTATGCCTCCCTTCTCTAAAGTCTCAGTACAAATCCATGCCACACTGCTCTTTGGATAAGGTATAATTATAGATGTTAGACATTCAAAATGTTGTGTAAAATAAAACTCATCTATCTTACATTTATATCTTACTGGAGTTTTGTAATAAGTACTTTATACAAGAACCATCCTTTTTAAATTCTTTGTGTGACTTTACAGAGGCCTAGAAAACACCTGTATGTGAGTTAACTATATCATGTAATAAAATATTTTGTTCAGAGAAATAAAATTATTATTTTTTAAAAAGATTTATTTATCTTTGAGGGGAAGGGAAGGAGAGAGGGAGAGAAACATCAATGTACGGTTGCCTTTCGTGCGTCCCCTGCAGGGAACTGGCCTGCAGGGAACTGGCCTGCAACCCCGGTATGTGCCCTGACTGGGAATTGAACCCCAATTGTCTGGTTCGCAGGCCTGCGCTCAATCCACTGAGCTACACCAGCCAGGTAAAATTATTATTTTATCAGAGTACGAGGAACTTGGTTTTTACTTATAAAAGAACATACATATTTCAAGTGCTTTTCAAGAATATTGTTCAAATCTAACTACTCTTGGAATGTATCACCCTAGTTTGGGTGCAACTGTTAAAAGCAGGTAGCTGTGCTCTGCATTAAAAATAAATAGCTACAAATAGCTTTAATGCATTAATCACATGAGATGAAGAGCCACCTAGAGCAGCAATTTGCAACCTTCTTCATCCATTGGCACACACAAACTAATTACCAAAATTCTGTGGCATATCAAAAAAATAATTTTTTTTCTGATCTGACAAAAATAGGTATAATTTTGATTCATTCAAACCAATAGCTATTGTCATTTTTTTTTAATTTGACAATTTATGGGAAAAGAGGTCAGTACCCCTGACTAAATAGGTATTGCACATTTAAAAAATTCTTGTGGTACACGAGTGTGCCATGGTACACTGGTTGAAAGTCAATGCTTCAGGCAGGGGTGTCCAAACTGCTGGCATCTTCTCTGCGCCACACTGAAAGAAGAGTTGTCTTGGACCACACATTAAATACACTGCAACATGTAATGATCAAAATTTTTTCATAATGTTTTAAGTAAATTTACGATTTTGTGTTGAGCTGCATTCATAGCCATCCTGGGCTGCATGTGGCCTGGGGCTGCAGGTTGGACACTCCTGATTTAGAGCATGGTTCTTCTGTACAAGGAGACTGGTGGGACACAGTAGGTTAGGTCAAGTACACCTGCCAGCCAAGGGACCTGGCCTTGATTGTATTAGCCACTAGAGAGCCTGAAGCACAGCAGGGACAATTTGGTGGCAGCGTAGATAATAGGTGAACAAGACTGGGAGCAGCTTGAGGAAATGCAAACTGTCTGAAATACAGCAATGGGGGTTGGCATGAAGAGAAAGGCACAAACTCAGGAAAT